ACGGATGACCCGCCCAGAAGTGGGTCGTGTGACCCCTCTAAGAACTCAACCCGCCTCCCTCCACCAATCAGGAGGAGTTTTTTCCCTGTAGGACCGCCTCGTGAACTGCTTTGACCAATCGGGGGGCAGTTCCGGGAACGGATGACCCGCCCAGAAGTGGGTCGTGTGACCCCTCTAAGAACTCACCCTGCCTCCCTCTACCAATCAGGAGGGTTTTTTTCCCTGTAGGACCGCCCCACAAATCGCTTTGACCATTCGGGGGGTGCAGTTCTGGGACCCGTTGACCAGACCGGAAGCTGGTCGTGTGACCCCTCTAAGAGCTTCCCGTGACACCCTCTGTCAATCAGAGCATAGCACTTCCCCATAAGTTCTAGCGCCACACAAAAGAGGCCATCTTGTTCCAAGATACAGCTAGGACACCGCAGCGGCACGCCCACGCTGTCTGAGCACGTTCCGCTCAAGCAGAGGCGGCAACAATACCTGCAAGAGTGGTCATGACTGTATACTGTGTGGCAAAACTCACAATAATTTTTCGCTCCGAACAACTTTTTCACATCCAGAACCCCATAGTAATGCTCATCTCCGCCAAGCGCCACGCGCCCGGGGCCGGCGCTCCCTCTGCCGGCGCTCACCGTGCGCCATGTGCCCGGGGCCAGCCCCGAGCACCGTGTTGGGGACCAGTATCAGCACAGGTACATTCTATACCCGGCGTATAAGACGACCCCCGATTTTTGGGGGATGTTTTTTAGTGTAAAAAGTCGTCTTATACGCCGGAAAATACGGTATATAAGATTCAGCATTGTTCTTGGACTTTCAGGTAGCAACATTTTTCATTTATAGTTGTCCTACAGGATACAGCTGTTCTTCTCCCTGGTTATATTCATGCTGGATATAAACTTGTGACTTGTTCTTGCAAACCATATTTGAAACTGAATGGAAGTTGAGCCAGTGTTTCCAGTAGCACTTGTAATTCACATGAACTTTGATTAAATAATTTTTACTAAATTCACAAGCAAAATCCAGTTTGGGGTCAAGGTGCGTAAAAGAGACCATTTTCCCCATACTTTTTAAGAAAGCAGGCTATTCACAAACCTGATGTTTCATAAGTTACTGGAGTCATTAATGTAATTCGAAGTAGTACCTCCTAGATAATTATTGTTCATAAAGCATTTTAGAAATTACAAACCTATTTAGAGCATGATCTTTGCAATAGATTGCAATGATGTATTTTGTAAAACCTATTAAATATATGCAGATTCAAAACAAAAAGCTTTTCCTTTAAAAAGAATTCTAGCTACAAAAGATTACCCTATATGAAACATTACATAGTGTGTATGTTCTCATGAATCTTCTGCCCAACACTATGCACTTCCTTCCAGGAATGGGGTAGTTCTTATTCCCATACCAGAATTAGGCAGTTCTGCCACAGGTTGAACCTCTCTAGTCAGGCACCTGCTGGACCTGACCGGTAGTGAACCAGAGAATTTGCTGAACCATAAGAGGTCAATATTGTCTAACACCATTACCAACACTGCCTCTCTTACTGGACTCTTAAAAGACATGTAGGGGTAAATTAGAGCTAAATAACAGCACAAAACACCAAGAGCCAGGCTGGTGGCTGAAAACAAACTTAATGCAACTGGAGGAAACTTGGCCACACCCGTCATAAATGGACATCGGTTAACTAAAATCATTCCGGACTATGAATGTTGCGAGACCAGAGAGTGCCGGACTAGAGAGGTTCAACGTGTTGTCAAGAATGTGTAATAGTTCTGTCTCATAACTTGTGATGCTGTAAAGTAATTACATAGTGGTTTATCCATTTCCTCATGTGCTGTAAATTTCCACTTTCAAAGCAAAAAGGTGAATCTGTGAATCCAAAGAAGCATCCACCATAACTATGTAAAACGTAATATTTAACAAATATACTGGTTACCCTATGACAAATAGTATTTAATGTTTTTGTTAACACATCTATGAACAGTGTAAAGTTTCTTTCAAAGGGTTAAATTCACACTGCTGTATGGCAATAATCAGCAGTTTCATCTTCTGTAAAGTGTATCTTTGTGAGCTTTAAAGAGAAAACTATAATTCCGTCCTGTAAGATAATTAGTCCAGTTTTAAGAAACTTGGAAACTCCGGAGACATAGGCTTCCTTTATTCCGCCGTAAACTACACTAGTCCAGTTTTAAGAAAATTGGAAACTCTGGAGACATAGGCTTCCTTTATTCCGCCGTAAACTACACAGTCTGATATGCCGTGACCATCCTTACCTCATAGATGAGATATAGCACTGTAAATACTAACTTGTTTGATATACAGAACATTCTCATCTAGGTAAAACCAAGTAACCAACTTGATTTGAACTAGACAACTACTGACCTTATATGTTCCTCGGAAAAGACAGGATTTAATTATTCAGAATTTCAGAAATTTGAAGTTGAGATACCTACCACAATTTCATGTCTACATTCCATAGAGTAACAGTGACATGTGGCAAGGTTGTTTAGAGATGACCCTGGCCTGCCAATGGTGGGAGAGGAAAGATAGAGTGAAGGCAGCTGGCTTTCAGCAGTGTTACTGAACATGCCAGTACAACTAAACAGCAAATCTGGGAGGACATATGACCCGGTATACTCTTCCATGCTTGACCTGTGGTGGTTCGGTATCCTTAATTAATAATTTCCTGATATAGGGTTTTTTCGTGCACCAGTACTCTAGTGTGATTTTCTTCTCTAAGAAGTATATGTGTATGTTTATAAACTGCATCTGTAAAACAACATGAACCATGTGATACATTTTATTTTATTTATATTATAAACTGCAGAATAATGTAAATGCCAGAAGTGACATGCCAAGATTTAACTTATTCACTTCTATTTACGGATATACATGCCAGGGGGAGGAGGAAGCCAGAGGTAGTCTGTGCTGGTGGCCATATTTTTTGAACCAGCTGCAGCTAGGGAGAATGGTTTAATTTAAATTATTAAACAGATTAAGTATTTTAACCTTCTCATGTTAGTTTATCAAACTTCATTTTAAATAAAGTAAAATGTCAATTTATGTCCAGCACAATAGATTTCAATGCTTTCTTTCTTTATGGCCAGGGTGGTGCTACTGACCCACAGAAAAATCAGTTGGGGGCCACACAAGTGAGAAGCAAATAAATATATTCTCCATGGAATCCAGCTCTTTTTTTGAGCTGTAATTTATTTAAAGAAGTATTGCCTTTGAATAAAGGTGTATTTTATCTTCCATCTTGTCTTTTCTCCCTTTTATTTTTTTGCCAAACTTCAGAATTTCTGACTTAGGAAATCACACATGTCTGGGGGCACTAGAGTTTGCAATGACTCCACTATATGGAGGGGTGGTATACAACTCCCTTATTGATGACCGTAATGTTGGAGTTTTCAGTTATGGAGATTCCTCGGGCAGTCTTAAAAGTTCTTGCTTTAAATGAAGCATAGACATTTGTTTGAAGGAGTACAGTGATTTTTATGCTGTGAATTCTATTTTGATGATAATTCTTCAGAATAAAAATGAGAAAGTTTGCTATTTTAATGTATTTAAAGATGTGTCTGGCCAAAGCAATTAGATACATGATGTGAAGCAGTGATGCCACTGTCCTTAAAAGGGCATTCAGAAGTCTGTTATTTAATTTAGGGTTATAAGTGTTTGAAGGAGTACAGTGATTTTTATGCTGTGAATTCTATTTTGATGATAATTCTTCAGAATAAAAATGAGAAAGTTTGCTATTTTAATGTATTTAAAGATGTGTCTGGCCAAAGCAATTAGATACATGATGTGAAGCAGTGATGCCACTGTCCTTAAAAGGGCATTCAGAAGTCTGTTATTTAATTTAGGGTTATAAGCAACTAGCCCCCCCCCCCCCCCAGCACTGTCTCTGTGGTGAGGAGAGGAGGCAGAGGCACAGCAGGGGAAACAGCGCAAGCGGGGACCAAAGCGCTCCCTGCTCGCATGGGGTTCTGACAGCTGCACCTCTCCCTTTGAAATGTACAAGAGACACCTGCTTGATACAGAGATGTGCTTGATACAGAGGACATATTAAGTAGGATATCAAAATTAAGATGAAGAAAGGTAAAATACCATTATTTTCTTCTTTTCTCTCTCCTTCTTGTGGTATGTCTCGATATCCTTCTCTTTCTTTTTTCTTGTTGTTTCTCCTTTTCAGTCCCTCAGCTTGACAGCTGAATAGAAATGGACTAACATTAGACTTCTACACAAAAATGCTTCCATTAGTTCCACTAAGCCCTTAAGTTAAAAGTGCTTCTGTGCAAAAGCATGTCCCTACTATAAAATCATAGGACTGGAAGGGACTTTGAGACGTCAGCTAGACCAGTCCCCTACACTCATGGCAGGACTAAATATTATCTGGTATCATCCATGCCATAGAAAGAATATAAACAAATAACAGATATGTAGGGGCAAAATTGAAAGGCCAAGGCACAAAATGAGATTGGAGATAGAAAGGGTAACTAGAAAACATTCTAAAAATATTTTAGAGGCAAGCAGAAGACCAAAGACAGACAGGGTAAGCCAATTACTCAACTAAGGAGGGGAGAGTAACAGACAATATGAAAATGGTAGAAGTCCTAAATGACTATGATTGATTTATATCTCTCCATTCGTATACAAATGTTAGATGGAGCAGACAAGAAAATAATCATCTTTAATTAACGTATATTCCCTGTGGGTTAATCAGCAGTTCATTTCCTTATGTCTTGTTTTACCATAAATATATTTCTGACTTTTGGATCAGAAATTATTGTGAAATGGCTTTAAAACTGTGGAACCAGTAGAACTTTTTAACATGCAAAACTAGCGAATAAAATTAAGTTGCATACTGTTCCCAATACAGTATGAGTGTCTTCTCTTGGAATAATACTTTGCTGACACATCTCAAGCTGGTCTAACCTTAATGTGGTACAGCAGTATTTTCACATAGCTGTCATTCCAATTATTTATTTGTTTATTTCTAGATTGCTCATTCCCAAGGAACTATTACTCAAACACTAATGGATGGGACAGCACAAAGAATACAAATTGTCCCAGCGGATTCAGGTCTCTCTTTACCACAACGCATACAAGTACGTTTAATGTAAAATATTTTGAACGAATCTTTGAACTACTTTACTCTGCCTTTTTTTGTGTACCTTTCCTTTTGTGAACACTTAATGATCTTTTCTAAAATGTGAAAATTTTACCCAGAGGGATAGAAACTCCTGTGTCTAGTGGAGCTGGAGTACAATCGGGGTGGTGCTTCACATTGTTTCTTGCTTTCTGAGAGGAAGAGTTACATAGGAAGTACTTTCACCGGTGCCTCATAATCTCCTTCAGACAGTAATTCAAGTGATATTGTTGGAGTAAAAGCTGTCTGCAAAGCCTCACTTGTGTTTAAACAGCGTACCCAGTCTCTACTCCAAGACTACCCGTTGAAAAACAAAGATGTACTTCAAGCTGTTACAAGGCATAACATGGAAACAGTGTTAAAAGATTGAATTATTTTACATTTGATAATTCAGCAGATACATTTGAAAGACTCTGTGGGGTGGTTTGGAAAATATTTGTGGATCATAGCAAGAAATAAAGTAAAAGAAGCAGTGAGAGATAAAAAGGCATTGTTTAAAAGGTGGAAGTTAAATCTTAGTGAGGAAAATAGAAAGGAGCATAAAATATATTATTAAGGAAAACCACAAAGAAATTTGAACAACAGCTAGCCAAAAACTCAAAAAGTAATAGCAAAAATTTTTTTAACTACATCAGAAACAGGAAGCCTACTAAATAACCAGTGGAACCACTGGATAATCGAGATGCTAAAGGAGCGCTCAGAAATAATAAGGTAATTGCGAAGAAACTAAGTGAATTCTTTGCATCAGTCTTCATGTCTAGAGATTCCCAGAACTGAGCCATTCTTTTTAGGTTGCAAAGCTGTGGAGTTGTCTCAGATTGAGATATCACTAGAGGAGGTTTTGGAACAAATTGATAAAGTAAACAGTATAAGTCACGAGGACCAGATGGCATTCACCTAAGGGTTCTGAAAGAAATCATGTGAAACTGTGTAACTACTAACTGTGGCGACCTATCCTTTAAATCATCTTCTGTGCCAAATGACTGGAAGATAGCTAATGTGATGCCAATCTTTAAAAAGGGATCTAGAGATGATCTTGGCAATTATAGACCAGTAAATCTATCATCAGTACCATGCAAACTAGTTGAAACTATAGTAAAGAATAGAATTGTCAGACACATAGGTGAACATAATTTGTTGTGGAAAAGTCAACATGGTTTCTGGAAAGGGAAATCATGCCTTACTGATCTACTAGAATTCTTTGAGGCCGTCATCAAGCATGTGGACAAACGGGATCCAGTGGATATAGTGTATTTAGGTTTCCAGAAAGCCTTTGACAAGGTCTCCTAAGTAAGTTATCATAGGTTAAGAGGGAAAGTCTTCTCATGGATTTATAACTGATTAAAAGATAGAAAACAAAGTAGAAATAAATAATAGGTTTTCAGAATGGAGAGAGTTAACTAATGCTGTCCCCCGGGGGTCCATACTGGACTAGTGTTCCCTCTAAGTTGCACAGTAGCACAGCTTCACGGGTGATTAATCAGCACTGAACTGACTGACTGGGTGGGGCTGATTAATCACCTGTCTTGCCACCCAGCTTAGAGGGAACACTGACTGGGACCAATCAATATTCAACATTCATAAATGATCTGGAGAAAGGGGGAAACCTTGAAGTGGCAAAATTTGCGGATGATACTGATTTGCTAAAGATAGTTAAGACCAAAGCAGACTGTGAAGAGCTTCAACAGAATCTCACAAAGCTAGGTGACTAGGCAACAAAATGATAAATTAATTGAATGTTGATAAAGGCAAAGTAATGCATATCAGAAAACATAATTCCAACTATACATACAAAAGGAAGATCTTGGAGTCATCGTGAATAGTTCTCTGAAAACATCCACTCAGTGTGTAGTGGCAGTCAAAAAAGCAAACAATGTTAGGAATCATTTAAAAAGGGATAGAGAATAAGATAGAGAGTATCTTATTGCCTCTGCATAAATCCATGGTACGCTCATATCTTGAATACTGTTACAAATGTGGTTGCTTCATCTCAAAAAAGATATGTTAGCATTGGAAAAAATCAGAAAAGGGCCACAAAATTATTAGGGGTTTGGAATTGCTGCCATAAGAGAGATTAAGAAGATGGACTTTTTTCACTTTACAGAAGAGGAGACTAAGGGAGGATATGAGAGAGGTCTATAAAAGCATGACCTGTGTAGAAAAAGTGAATAAGGAAAGTTATTTACTTGTTCCCATAACATAAGAACAAGGGGTCACCAAATGAAATGAATAATTAGCAAGTTTAAAACAAACAAAAGGAAGTATATCTTATAGGGTTAAAAAAAACTAGATAAATTCATCGAGTATAGGTCTGTCAATGCTTATTAGCCAGGATGGGTAGGAATGGTGTCCCTAGCCTCTGTCCAATGCTGGGAATGGGTGACACTTGTTGATTTCTTGTTCTGTTCATTCCCTCTGGGGCACCTGGTACTGGCAACTGTCAAAAGATAGGATACTGGGTTACATGGACCTTTGGTCTGACCCAGTATGGTTGTTCTTATTAAACATATTTTTCTTTATATTAACACATTTTCTTGATATACTGCTATCAGCCTATTGTTTAGTGTATTGCTGGAGAATTTGTTTGTTGATCATTCCGAGAAAAAACTCCTGCCCCAGTAGAGTATATGATAGAATCCATGTGATATGTTTCCTCTCCTTTCACCTGAGAATTGAGATTCTATTTAGGGTTAGTTGCTTTGCCCAAATGTCCTACCCAGAGAAGAAGTCAGTATGGGTACTCACCACTTTCATGTTGTCTAGTGCCATCTTTGGGTGCATGAGGAGGATTTTGGGAATGGGATTTACTTTTTTTTTTTTAAGTAACTTTGGGCGTGTCTACACTATGGAGAAGATTGACCCTGCAGAGATCAATCTTCTAGTGTTTGATTTAGCGGGTGTAGTGTAGACTCCCAAATCGACCACCGAGGGCAGCCCCCGCCAGTGTCCTGTACTCTTCACTCTGTGAAAAGTAAGGGAAGCTGATGGGAGCATGTGCTCCTGTGGGCCTCCCGCAGTGTAGACATTGGGACGGCTCTGCTTAAGATAAAGCATATCCAGCTATGCAAAACGTGTAGCTGGATGGTGTACCTTAAGCTCACCTACCTGCCAAGTGTAGACCAGGCCTTAAATTTTAGACCCTGCAAATATAGTTTCTTTTTGTATCTGACCTTAAAACTTTTGTAAATTTCTCTGTAAGCAGTGTCATTGCATTAAACATTTTCCATTCAAAATGTGACTGCTATGGTCATTTTTCTTGTTTGTTGCTCTGACTGTATCACACTATTCAAATTCTTCTACTTGCTCTGCTTGTTCCATGAGTTCTTGTTTCTTGTCCTAATCTTTCCAGGACATTCACAGCTCAGTTCCTCTCTACTTGTCCTTTTCCCATCATTTATTGCATCTACCCCAGCTTCCTCTGGTCTATGAACAATTCAAGCCTATCTACCCATCTTTCAGATGTCTCTGTGCTATCTTTCATGCTAGCTCTTATTCAGGGAATCCTTTCTTAATTAATCTATAACCTTCTGTTCTTTTCACTCCCTTCTCAAAAGCTGCCTTGGTTTTTATGCTCTTGTAATGTGATATTCTGTACTTGGTTGTTAGCATTAAAAATTGAACTTGGGGCAGCCCATGAACCTACTGCCTGCTCTAAAAGACTAGTTCTGTTATTTCAGATCCTGTAGCCAGTTGGTATTTGAACCCAGAGGGTCAGGTGAGCTCGGATTTGGGTGGCTAGCCTGCACTAATGTCCACAATGCTATTTTTAGTGTACTAGATCAAGCATAGTAAGCATGTCTGTCTACCAATATTGGGATCATCCTTCCCTCTATGGAGTAGTCATCCCTTTGTGGTTCATCCACAGCCACACTTTGTAGGAAAGACTTATGTCTACCATAAATGAGTCAGCCAGTAAAAGTTTGATTGTGTGTCATGTTGGAGGGGCAGGGGCAAGAGGAGGATTGTGTTAAAAAAAAGTTAAGTATTTTCTGGAACCTTCAAATTATACCGTAGCTATCCTGTGTAGTAGAGGGATGTTACTTTTCTGTACCCCTCACCTCTTCCTTTCTCTTGTTTGTCACTCTCTCACGTGTTACATCTTATCTCTAGACTGTAAACTCTGTGGAGCCAGGATTTTGTCTGCTGTATGTTCATGTAAAGCACTTAGCACGCTGGAGTTGATGGACGTTTCAGCAGCACAAGCAATAATTAATAATAAATAATTGGAGCTGTTGGAAAGTACAGGATATTTTCCATTCTTGTTGAAATGTTCTGCAAGAAATTGTCAACTGCAAGAAATTGTCAAATGCTGGTAAAATTGCAGGCAAAAGTCCAACTTTTTTGTTTTACTTTATAGATGTGATTTGTTTTGATTTTATTTTGCATTACATTAAATTATTTCATATAATGTATATAATACAATAAGATACATAATGTTTTTGTACCTGAAAGCACTAATAGAAATTAAATGTTTTGATTGTCCCAAATTGAATTTTTTCAGAATTTTCATTTTGTGGGAAACTTCAGAATTTTTTCATTGAATGGAAATCCGATTTCCAACTAGTTCTATAAATAATATGTCAAAATTAAATGTATTGAAATGATCCTTTACAGGTGAACACATTATTTCCTAAAACAGGCACGTTGAATGACTTACATATGTCACTAGTTTATTCATAAAGCAGTTTTGCAGATTGGTTGCAGATGGAATTCCAGGTCTTTGAAGAGAAAAAACTGCAGTTTAGTGAAGGGCAAGTTTGTGAGGCTTTTACTACAGTCTTCATTTAAAAATAGGAAAGAAATGCAGTAACAATGCTGCTGATCTGTTCTTGTTGGTCAAAAGAAGAATAAATCAAGAGTTGTTTTTCTTTGTCAAAAAGAAAAAAGGTGGCAAAGAAAAGGATTAGTGTTCAGTTCTCCTGCTTCAGTTTGATTTTTCTATTTGTGAGTGTAAAAATGTTTAACTAAATTATATATAAACTAAGAAATAAGATTGTTCCTTTCCCTTTAGTAATTATCTAAATTAATAAAGTCAGCACTGAAGTGTACCACCTGGAATTAGGTGATGAAGATAATTCATTAAGGACTTAAACCCATGAGCTGCTGATTATCATTTTGTGTTATGCTGTGTTCTCAAATCCCATTGAATTAAGTGGAAAGGAAGGGAGCTTAGTACATCACAGGACTAGGGATTGAGCCTTAGCGTTTATATCCATATTTTTAACACTTCATAGCTGATAGGATCTGAGACTTTTCTTTGGCCTTCTGTAAACATATGCACCACTTGCAAAATTTGAATGCATATTCAGGTTCAGAGGTCAAACACTTCTACAGTCCTGGGGTTTTCAGATTCAGGGTTTTCATTTGAATTTTAGCTCATTAGGAGACCCAATCCTGCAACCACAGAAGTCAAAGGCAAAACTCCCATTGACTATGATGGTGCAAGACGGGATGCTAAAAAAAACATGAATTTGAAAGACCATAACAATTTGAGATAAATGTATTATCAGATTGTCACAGATCAACAGACGGGCCAGAAGATTCAGATTGTTACCGCACTTGATCAGAATACAGCAGGCAAGCAGTTCATCTTAACAAATCATGATGGCTCTACCCCAAGCAAGGTGATCCTTGCCAGACAAGATTCCACTCCAGGAAAGGTTTTCCTAACAACTCCAGATGCTGCAGGTGTCAACCAACTGTTTTTTGCTTCCCCTGATTTATCTGCACAACACATCCAGGTAGAGAATATGCTTTATTTCATAATATTAATTCGAATGGGATAGGAAGAGATATTTTTCTTTCCAAATATTTTCTGTACTGGTCTTGCATTTTTAATCCTTTTGCTATGTACATTTCTCTGATAGCAAGACTTGGGAGTTGTTGTTTAGAAACAATGAAGAAAATAATTTGTTCCTTGAAATTTATTATTTTTGAATTTGAATTTGAATTTATATTTCATGAGCCAAGATAGAAAAAAATATAAATGTGTAGTTTTATATGTACTTTTCAAGCCAGAACCTTCTGTCGCACTCCTGGATAGCCTTTTTGTGTTTCTGCCTCATTGCCTCTCCATCTGTTTTCAAGTATCATTTGAAAAAATACCATTTTCTCCCTTACCTTTTACTTCTTACTATTTCCCTTCTTATCCTTTCATTTTTATTTGCCATTCTGATTATTGTTTAACTGTGCAAACAATTGTTGACCACATATAGACAAAGAGATGGGAAGGGCAGGAGAGAGTGTCAATGAGATTAAGTTGTGAACTTCAGCATGTGCTTTGTAGTGTCATAACTTTTTGTATTTTTAAGTAAATCACAATAAAGATAAGTGCCTGTTAAATAAGGTTTAAAGTGCTTCTAGCATAAAACATTTTGAGAAGAGATTTCAGTGGCACAGCTATAGTAGTGTAAGTAGTGCAGTAATACCCAGATCCACAAGGTTTTGGAGGGTTACCCAGACAGGAAGTTCTCCCATGCTTCAGCTGATGCACAGGTTTCCAGTGCCATGCACTCAAATCTAGCTATGTCAACTTTCCATCTGATGGAAGAGCAGCAAGGCCAAATCTAACTGGCGATGCAGTGTGACACATGGGGATGCAGCGCTACTCATGTTTGGTCTAGCTGACTTCTTCATGACAAATGGGTGGCCAGGCCAAATTTGAGTGGCACTGCAACCCTGTGTACTAAGCTATAATGCCACTGAAACTGGAGAACTGGTCTAAAGTAAATAAGGACAAATGCAACATACTCCACTTAGGAAGGAAAAATCAGTTGCACTCGTACAAAATGGGAAATGACTACCTAGGAAAGAGTATTGCGGAAAAGGATCTGCAGGGGGTTATAGAGGATCACAAGCTATCGATGAGTCAGTAGTGTAACACAGTTGCAAAAAAAGCATACATTATTTTGGGATGTATTAGTGCTTCAGGATTGTTGTAAGCTAGACACAAGGAGTAATTCTTCCACTCCATGTTGATTAGGCCTCGACTGGAATACTGTGTATAGTTCTGGGGCACCACATTTCAGGAAAGATGTGACAAATTGGAAAAAGTCCAGTGAAACACAACAAATTATTAAAGGTCTAGAAAATATGACCTATGAGAGAAGATTGAGAGAATTGGGTTTGTTTAATCTGGAGACGAGAAGACAGAGAGGGGGCATAACAGCTTTCAAGTGCCTAAAAGACTGTTTCAAGGAAGAGAGAGAAAAATTATGCTCCTTAACCTCTGAAGATAGGACAAGAAGCAATGGGCTTAAATTGCAGCATGGGAGGTTTAGGTTGGACATTAAGAAAAACTTGCTAACTGTCAGAGTGGTTAAGCACCGGAATACATTTCCCAGGGAAGTTGTGGAATCTCCATTTAGACAAACACTTGTCGGGGTGGTCCAGATGATGGTTGGTCCCGTCATGATTCATTGCTTAATTTTTCTTAAATTTGGCCAGTGCTGTGTGAATGCAGGAGAGCTAATGCGCAGCTAGGATTGCGAGGAGCCTAAGATGGGAACAAAATACAGAGCTATGGGTCAGTGGGGTGCTGGTGAGGGGATAGGGGACAGGCTATGGAGGGAAGGCTTTAGGTTAATGAGGAGTGCTAGGGGGCTGCAGAGGCAGGGGTTGGGGCAATTGGTTAAGTTGTGGAAGGCTCTAGGGTAGCAAAATTTCAGATTTTAGAAAGGAGGCCCTTAAAACATGACCCCAGTGCAAGAATTGGTTGTCACACCACTGTGATTGAAAGGATAAGGTGGAAGAGTACCAGACTGGATTAGAAAGCATGAACTAGTTTTATGGATAACATGAAAAGGGGGCATAAATATGGAGATCTAGTTCTGTAGCTTATACAGGCTAAATTGGGTAGACAACAGAAACAATATTTTAGAATTTTTGTGCTTTCACAAGCTAAACATATAAGGTCTCAGGAGTACATGTATTTCTCTGACCTTTTCTGCTAGGGCTTATCTACACAGTATATTAATGCACACCAACTAGGGCATAAATTTTAATGAGCATCAGTGTGTCACTGGCCTGTGTGTACCATGCTAACACACACTTAGAAGTTCCCTATGCATACTGTGAAACTTTTATTACATACCAGTAGGGTCCATGTGGGCCAATTACTGTGGGACAAGCTAGAGGCTGTGACACCTTAGAGCAGCCATGTCCAAAGTCCGGCCCGCGGGCCAATTGCGGCCCGTGTTCCGGTTTAATACGGCCCCACAGGTAATTTGGCAATATCTATCTTTTATGGCCCCCAACGAATCCATATGTATTGAGATGAATACATTGTAAAATCTCAGTTAATGTCAGTTGGTCTAAATCAGTTATAAATATATTTGGACACAACATGTATACTTGGTGTTATGTTCCTGTTCATATTTTTTGAACTTAAAAGTTGACAGACAACCTTTATTACCAATAATATGTAATGTACTTTACAATGTTCCTGACATATATTTCAGCTTCCTGGATTTTTTTTCATCTGGCCTTCAGATAACCTGTTTAGATTTGTCATCCATGTGACGAAATGAAAAGTATGCCGTTTGCAATAAACTTTGCATAAAATAGTTAATTTGCATTTAATTTTAATGGTTCAAAGAATGTCAGGCAAAATGGTCGGCCCTCACGCATATTCACTTCATCAAATCTGGCCCTCTTTGAAAAAAGTTTGGACACCCCTGAACTACACCATTGCTGGCAACTCCTGAAATACAGATACTACAGCTACAGATTTTGCTCACATAGTCAAGGCCTAAATACACAAGGTGCATGTTCATACAGTTCCAAATAACTATGATTACTTGTTTTGGCTATTAGGAAAGATTTGTGCAGTGTAACAAAAGGACTTAGTTTACTTTTGGAAATATAAGCGTGGGAATATCACCGAGCCTCATTTGCATACCTAATGAGCCACCATTTTTGAAGAAGAGGCTCTTGTGCCAGAAGTGTCTACACTGCCCCTTCTTGCGCAAGAAAAACCCTCTTGCGCAATGCTATTATTCCTGAAAATAATCAGTGTAGCAGCATTGCGCAAGAGGGGTTTTCTTGCACAAGAAGGGGCAGTGTAGACGCTCCTTCTAGAGCAAGAGCCTCTTCTGCAAAATGGCGGCTCATTAGGTATGCAAATGAGGCTTGGCGATATTCCACACTTAGCCTCATTTGCATATCTCTGGCACAAGAAGCCACCAGTGTAGACATAGCCTGACAGATTTATTAGTGCATAAGCTTACATGGGTAAAACCCACTGCATCAGATGAGTTGGAGTAGATATTACAGAGGCAGAGGTATATATATAAGAACAACAGGAGAAGCTACTTGTCACTTGTAGGACCAGAGCTAATTATGCTAATCTAGTCAAGGTAGTCATGTCTCATTTGCAGCATTTGATGTCGACACCTGAATTAAGAATGTTAAGAAGCAAGTAATCACTAATCGCGTAGTCGATAAAATTTTTATTCACTACACGATTAGTTGATAAAGGAAGGCTTCTTCAATCCCAGTTCGTGCTGGGTCTAGGAGCTACCCCTGCTGCGTCTCTGCAATTGAAATGTAGTAAGAGCCGAGCTGCTTGCAGGTGCAAGCTGAGACTGAGCTGGGTTTGCTCAGTCCTGGCTCACACCACATCCAGCAGCCAT